ACCCAACAAACACTGTTTATCTGTGCACACAACTTGCACCTCTCTCTCAGGTAAAACAATCATTTTGGTTTGGCTGCACTCGCTGTGTCGTGAAATCTGAAAACCTGCAACTGATGAATCCCGCAAATTGAAATAGTACGCCAAGCAGCTATAGATTCCCAGCCTTCTAAATCATTTCACAAGCCGCGTGTCAATTGCAACAATTTTCCCATCTGTCAGCCTCACTTCCTCCTCATTTGCTGACATATTTTTCTAGTCTGCCCATTGCCATTCCTCTCATTGCTCACCTCCAGGAAGGCATTCCCCAGCTAATGTGAATCCGCCATCTGCTAGACGCACAAACACTCAGAAGTCTCCAATGACCTTGTTACTTGGCTCCTACTGTCAAAGTCTGCTGTATTCATCAATTAGGATTAAAACAAAATGACTCAGGGTCAATTATTCAGGAGAGGCAGTGTGACTGCACTGATGTAACTTGCTTCCTTTGCAGGAATTCTTATTAAAATTACAGCTTCTCTGTTGGCAGTGACATCCAATTTCTCCTTCACCTGGGAAAGCCAGATCATGCAGCAACAAATCCATGTATCATGCCTGGGCTTCTGATACTGCTTTATTAAAGCAACCAAGAAGCAAAGGGACAGAAGGGCAGCGCGGTGGTCAGTGGTTAGCACTGCTGCCTCACAGCGCCAGGGACCCGGGTTCGACTCCACCCTCGGGCGACTGCAATGGTGTGCAGGGATGTTGGGAAAAGGCAGGAGATTGGCACTAGGTAATGGTGACAGTGCAGGCTTGATGGGTTGAATGGCCACCTTCTGCACAGTTACAACATAGATTCTGTGAAGTGATGTTTGTATGGATCAGCTTTAAGGACTACAGCATCTTCCCAATGTAAGCATCCTGTGTCAAAACACCTTTCTCCTCAGGTTACATTTGATTCGGGTGCTCAGTAAAACTTGCTGTGCACGGTCTCAGCAGTGCTGAGTAGATCGCCCATTCCCTCCCATGGTGCCATAATAGAATAGTACTGTTGGCTGGGACAGTGACTCGGTGGTTAGCGCTGCTGCCTCACAGCGCCAGGGACTCGGGTTCGATTCCACCCTCAGGCAGCTGTCTGTGTGGAGTTTGCATGTTCTCCCCGTGTCTGTGTGGGCTTCCTCCGGGAGCTCTAGTTTCCTCCCACAGCCTGAACATGTCTAGGTTAAGACAGACTGGCCATGCTAAATTGCCTCATACTGTCCAGTAGGGCTTGGGGTATCAGCCATGGTAAATGTGGGCTGATGGAGGGGGAGGGTGTATCTGGTCTTCAGACTGTTGGTGCAGACTCAATGGGCTGAATGTCCTCTTTCTGCACTTTTGGAGTTCTGTGATTCTAAGTAGCCCTTCAAGGCTATTATATAATCACAATTGAGTTCTACAATTTTGAAACCTAACTCCCCAAACCTTCCTTTGCTCCAAGTCCCTTTGATAAATTTCACAAACAAACACAGATTTAAAGATAAACAGTTCATCTGGAACCAACTGATATTTGCAGGTGCAAGTTCAACGCTTCTCCATCCTTTACAGGTCAAACATTTCCCAACCTCACCCTGAAAAGGTTGGATCTAGGTTTTAGACCATGCCATTTAGCCTTAGACTCCCCAGCAACAAAAATGGTTTCTCTCTATCTACCCTCTCAGCTGCACTTTATACTTTAAAAACCAAGTGAAGCTTCTACATTTCACAGGCTGCAAACCTTAATCCAGTTTAATCCCATTTCCGTGCTGTATCCCAAATCCTTTTACAGCCTTCCATCTCAGATTCAATCCTCATCCCTTGCAAAATGGACAATCTCTTACATTTGGTCAGAAAGTAGTTACTGTTATAACTGTTTGTGTTAACAACAATTCCCAAGATGATTCTGTATAGTCATAAAATCACAGTTTACTTCAGAGACAAACAGCTGCATTTATTTCAGAATGCAGTGGAGTAAAGCTCAGATTGCAAGCAAGAGAGAAAAGACAGACTACCTCCCTTATGCCTACCATTTATTCCTGAATAGTCCCAGAGCATGAACTGAAATAAACCCACTCTATGATGAACGTTGAGAGTTTCTGACATTGTGACAAGGCACCATCTAAATGCAGGGCTCGTTCCTTCCAGCAGACTAATGGGCTTTGATAATGTGAGGTCCAAATGTCAAAAACAGTAAGCTCAGTGTCACAGCCTGAGAAAATATCCTTTGACTTTCTTCTGACCAGTAGCTCCAAGGCATCGACATGAATAAATGCCTCACAAACAGTACCAGAATTTAAATAATCATAAATGATCTGAATTCAAAGAGCATGCACTGGGCACATTTCTTTGTCCAAAACTCATTTTTAAACACATCATGGTTCCTTGATACTTGGCAGTTGCATGGTAAATAAGCTTCTGAAGCACACTGCAATAAACTGTGAGAATTGCAGAGACTCAGAGACATTTACAGCACGGGAGGCCATTCTGTCCATCATGTCCATGCCAGTCAACAAAGATCTGATGACAATATTCTGATCTTCTAACTCTTGCTCCACTGCCCTAGTGACCCTGGCATTGCAAGTGAGCATCTAAATACTTTATAAACGTTATGAGGGTTTTTGAATCAAAGACCTTTTCAGACAGTGAGTTTGAGACTCCCAGCACCCTTAGTGAAATAAATTAAACTCTCCTTTCAGACTGTAGTGCTGAACTTTTTAACTTATATCTTCATTTTTCTACTTCTGAAACTACGAACTTGTACCTAGGTGTTTTATACCTGAGACAGCACTGTGTGTGCAAACATTGTACACTTTTCACTGTACTCTTATACCCTGTACATTTTACATGACAATAAACTCTAAATCTAAATCCTTCCTAAAATATGGAAATGAGAACTGCATCCAGTACTCCAGTTGTGACCTAACCAGCATTTTGTACAACCTGACATATCCTCCCAGCTCTTACTTTCATGCTTCAGCTAATAAAGGCGCGTATCCCAAATGTTTTCTGAACCGCCTTGTCTCCCTGCCCTACTACCTCTAGGATTTCCATGCTGTGCATCTCTATGACTCTGTGGATATGCACAGCAAGGTCACAATTTTCCGGGGTCCTATCATTCATGGTGTAACCTCCTGCCTTGTTAGCCCTCTAAAAAGTTCATCGCCTCACGATTTTCCAAATTGGATTCTGTTTGCCACTGCCCTGCCCAGCTGGCATCTTCCTGTGGTTTACAGCTATGCTCCTCACTATGTACCACCCTACTGGTCTTTGTGTCATTTCTTAGTCATACCTCTTACATTTAAAATTCAAATCATTAATGTACACCGTAAAAAACAAATCAGCCTGGTAAAGCTTTGCTGCACTCCCTCAAGAGCAGGAGCATCCTTCCTCCGAAAAGGAGACCAAAACTGCACACAATATTCTAAGTGTGGTCTCACCAAGGCCTTGTACAACTGTAACAAGACATCCCTGCTCCTGTACCCAAAACCGCTCACAATGAAGGCCAACATACCATTTGCCTTCTTTACCTGCATGCTTACCTTCAGTGACTGGTGCACAAGGATACTCAGGTCCCGCTGCACCCTCCCCTCTCCCAATTTATAGCCATTCAGGGAGTAATCTGCTTTCTTGCTTCCAAAGAGAATAACCTCACATTAATCCCTGAATAATCAGTACCATTTGAATGCAGATATATTGTGCCCCTGAGAATCCTTTCTCATGGCTTCCCCAACACCAAGGCCAGACTGAATGCCCTAAAATTTCCTGGTTGATCCTTTCTTCTCTTTGGTAATAATGGGGACACCCTCACCTGCAGCCAGAGAAGGTTTGAACATTACTGCCAGGACCCATGTTATCTCTCCCCTTGACTCCCTCAAGTTGTACCACATTCTTTCAAAGATAACACAGTGTGGAGCTGAAGGAACACAGCAGGCCAGGCAGCATCAGAAGAGCAGGAAAGTTGATGTTTCGGGTCGGGACCCTTCTTCAGAAATGGGGGAGGGGGAAGGGAGCTCTGAAATAAATAGAGAGCAGAGGGGTGGGGCTGGGGAAGGTAGGTGCGCTGGTGATAGGTGAGTGCAGGGAGGCAGTGGTGGGATTCGAACCCAGGTCCCCAGAATGTTAACTGGGGATAATACCACTAGGCCATTGCCTCCCTGTGATTTGTTGAGGTCCCCGCACAGATCCGTGCAGCACACCACTCATGCAGCGCAATAGAGTTACGTAATGGCCAATGTTACTACACCCTGGTAAGGGCAAGGAGGAAGCGAACAGCTTTTGAAATTCAATAAGGCAGACTTGAATGTCTCTTGTGGGCAGCTGTTGGAAACTTTTCCTGAAACATGGGCCGCATTTGAAACTGTCGCTCCTAATCTGCCACATAAATAAGGTTGCTAATCCTGTTTGGACTTGGAAAGCTGCCAGTGTCTGGGAAAACAGGACATTTTGTTCAGGTAGCCCAAGCCTCATTATCGCCTCCAGTGAATAAACAACGAGAAAAGGAATGAAGGCTCTCAGGTCTGAGTAGATTGTCACCCAAACAAACTGAACATGGTCAGCAAAGATTCAAACTATGGCAGCTAGTTATAACCAGGTAAACAAATTAAAAATGATCAACCCGTTTGCAGAATCTTGCTGTGCGCAAACATCAGCTGCTTCTTTCCTACAATAACAACACTTCAAATGCATTTTTTTTGGCTGTAAAAGATCTTGATGGATCGGCATGCCATGGTTGTGAATGGCTCTCTATAGACGCATTCCCTTTCTATAGGGGGAAAGAATGAATCAGATGTTTCCCATGCCGAACTCACACAGGACATCCAGGGAGGGAGCCGGATGCAAAAAAGATGATCTGTGCTTCTGGCTCAACAGGGAATCACCCAAAGTCAGAAACTAGTAGAAGAACCAGGAGCTGCTTGTACCGGGGATTTGAGGGAAGTATTGAAGAGTTGGCCAAAGGAGAGTTGCAAGGGATGATATTAATAAATTTTAAAAAGAAAACTCCTTACCTGTGTGGTAGAACTTCCCAGAGAATCCAAGGTTGAACGTGAAATTTGGAACCAGAGTTTTCAGCTTGTTTTGGGTGTTCAATAATGCCTGAGAAAGAGACAGAGAGAGATAGAGAACAGAACAAAGCATTTAATATCAGACAAAGCAATCCAAGAAGCTAATTAATAAAACAGAAATTGCTGGAGAAACTCAGCAGGTCTGGCAGCATCTGTGGACAGAGAAAATAAGAGTTAATGTTTCGAGTCCAGTAACCCTTCTTCTGAACTGATAGTAGCTAGGAAATGATGGTATTTAGACTGGGGATTGGGGGAGTGAGTGGATAGGTGGAAATGGAGCCCAGACAGAGAGAGAGAGAGAGAAAGTTAGGCAAAGGGATGGTTGATAGGAAATAAAAACCTGAAGAAGCAGATACTGTAAATCAGAAGCAAAAACAGAAATTGCTGGAAAAGCTCAGCAGGTCTGGTACGAGGGAAATCAGAGTTAACGTTTCTGGTCGAGTGGCTTCAGAAGAAGGGTCACTGGACCTGAAACGTTAATTTCTTATTTCTCTCCACAGACACTGCCAGACCTGCTGAGCTTCTCCAGCAATTTCTGTTTTTGCTTATAGTTGATGGTAAGTCAGGGAAGGGGAAAAGCTGATACTGGGGACAATGGGTGGGTTGTACTGAAAGCAGCCCATGTCATGACAGGGCCTGGGGATGTGGGGGCGGGTAAAGGACATAGAAGGAGGTGTTCCGACTCTAAAATTGTTGAACTCGATATTAAGTCCTGAGGCTGCAGGGTCTCCAAGCGGAAAATGAGGTGCTGTTCTTCCAGCTTGCGCTGAGCTTCACTGGAGCACTGCAGCAAGTCTGAGACAGAGGCGTTGACCAGGGAACAGGGTGGAAGTATTGAATGTGCAGGCAACGGGAAGCTGAGGGTCATTTTTATGGACAGTATGTAGGTGCTCCGCAAAGCGGTCACCCAGTCTGAATTTTGCTTTCCCCAATGTAGAGGAGATTGCAAACATTTCTTCCACTTCTGCTCAGGACCTTCCCATATCACAAAAGCCAGGTGTACCTTCAACACCAAGTGTCTTGCAGGTCCCATTCACAAAATGTCCATGGGCTTATGGTGGAGAGGACATTGTGGAGTCACAGGAGCAGAGGTTTGAATGCTGTATATTAGCAACGTGAAGGTTGAGCACCTTCTATAATCAATCAGCACTAGAAATGAACAGTAACATGTGGCACTATATGCTCTGTGGGTCACCACTTGGGAACTCAATTGTGGCTGTGAAGCCGCCAATGCCTCAATAATCTATTTCAAACGAATCAGTGATGTGACAGTGCTCACAAATTCACCTTTCCTTCCAGTCAGCACAGGAGGGGACTATTCATACAGGTACCACTCTGCTGCCCTCCAATTAGCCCCACTCTCTTGCACTTTTCCCTCAGAGTCTGTCTCTCTGACATTGCAATAGTTCACCCATGTGAGGCGCTTGACATGTTATGAAGTCTCTGGAACAGCGTTTCAACCTACAAGACCATAAGACATTGCAGCAGACACAGACCATTCAGTCTATCTCGTCTGCTCCACCATTCAATAAGATCTTGGCCGATCTGATAATATTCTGTGCCATTTTCCTGCCTTTTCCCTCATTGCCTTGATGACCTTACTGATTAAAAGTATACTTAGAATCATACAGTCATGCAGCATGGAAACAGACCCTTTGGTTCAACCATTCCATGTCGACCATGTTCCCAAACAAAATCAGTGTTACTTGCCTGCACTTGGCCCACATCCCTCCAAATCCTTCCTATTCATGAACTTCTCCAAATGTCTTTTAAACATAACTGTGCCTGCATCCACCGCTTTCTCTGAAAGTTCATTTTACGCACTTAACTGCTCTGCTCATAAGGTGCCCCTTATGTTCTTTTTAAATCTTTCTTCCCTTAAAAATATGCCCCCCAGTTGTGAACTCCCCCACCCAAGGGAAAAGACACTCATCATTCACTTTATCGAAGTCCCTCATGATTTTATAAACCTCTATAACTCTAACTCCTTAACCTTGCACACTCCAATGGAAAAGGTCCCAGCCTTTCCAGTCTATTTTTATATCTCAAACCCTCCATTCCTATCAACACCCTGGTAGATCTTTTCTGAACCCTCTCCAGTTTAATAATAGCTTTCCTAAAACAGGGCGACCAGAACTACACACAGAACTCCAAAAGAGGGCTCACCAACGTCCTGTAGAATCTCAACACGATGTCCTAATTCGGATACTCAGAGGCCTGAGCAATGAAGGCAAGCGTGCTAAACGCCTTCTTAACCACCCTGTCTATATATGACGCAAACTTCAAAGTAATATGTACCTGAACCCTTAGGTCTCTCTGTTCTACAACACTACCCAGGTTTCTACCATTAATTGTGTAAGTTCTGTCCTTGTTTGGTTTACCAAACTGAATAACTCGCATTTATCCAAATGAATCTCCATCTGCCACTCCTCAGCCTATTGACTCAATTGATCAAGACCTCTTTATACTCTTAGATAACCTTCTTCACTGTCCACTATACCACCGATCTTGATGTCAGCAGCAAACTTATCAACCATGCCTCCTATATAGTATCATCAATAGAATCATAGAATTCCTACAGTGTGGAAACAGGCCCTTCGGCCCAACATGTCCACTCTGACCCTTGGAGCATCCCACCCAGACCAATAGCCCTATAACCCATCTAATCTACACATCCCTGAACACTATGGGACAATTTAGCATGGCCAATCCACCTAACCTGCACACCTTTGTACTGTGGGAGGAAACCGGAGCACCCGGAGGATACCCACGCAGACACAGGGAGAATGTGCAAACTCCACACAGACAGTCACCTGAGGGTGGAATTGAACCCAGGTCCCTGGTGCTGTGAGGCAACAGTGCTGACCACTGAGCCATGGTGCCGCCCCATCCATTCCCATCCAAATCATTTAGATAAATGACAAATAAAAGTCGACTCAGTACCGAACTCTGTGGAACACCACTGGTCACAGGTCTCCAGTCTGAAAAACAACTCTCCACCACCACCCTCTCTCTCCTGCCGTTAAACCAATTTTGTATCCAGTTGGCAAGTCACCCTGAATCCCATGTGATCTAACTTTACCAATCAGTCTACCGTGTGGAACCTTGTCAAAGGCTTTACTAAAGTCCGAGTAAACAACTTACTTAATAGTCCAGCCTCAACAGCCCTCCACGGTAAAGAATTGCATAGATTCATTACCTTCAGAGATCTTTATTTTAAATGGATGACCCCTTATCCTGAGGTTATGCCTTTGGTCTAGACTCTTCAGCAAGGGGAGACAACCTCTCTGTATCTATCCTGTCAAAACCCCTTAGAATCTTGCTTGTTTCAGGAAGGTTGCATCTTGTTCTTCCAAATTCCAATGAGTACAGGCCCAACCTACTTAACACCACAAGTCAGACTCTCCTGGGATCAAACTAGTGAATGTTCTCTGTACTGCCTCCAAATCCAGTGTGTCTTTCATTAGATAAGGGGATCAAGACCGTTCACAGTATTCTCGCTGTGATCTAACTAGTGCCATGTACAGTTTCAGAAAGATGTCCCTATTTTTTATGCTTCATTCCCTTTGAAGGAAAGGCCCAATATTTAAATTGCTTTCCCTATTAGCCATTGAACTTGGATGCTAATGTTTTGTGAATTATGCACGAGGTCTCCTGAATCCCCCCGTAGTGCAGCTATCTACAGTCTCTCGCACTGGCATTCCACTCAGAGGAGCAGTTGAGCTTCATAAAGACCTGATCTCTTGCTCTCTCAACCAACATCAGAGAACAGATCAAGTGGCCAATTATCCAATTTGTCTTTTGTGACTAGCTGATTGGTGAAGTCATGATTCACACCTAAAAAAACCCACAAGAACCCAAAATTGATAAAGTAACTAATTTGATTGCAAAATTCTCAGGAAGTGGTCAGACACAATATAAATGCAAACTCCTATTTTTGCTTGACCGAGTCAGGTTCTAACACAGCTGTCAGCTAGCTGTTTAGTCAAACACACTAGGCGGTCTCACTCTAGGTTCAAGCTGATTTCCTGCACAAATTGGCCAGGACAAGAACACGAATGGTAAACGTGCAACATGTTGGCGATTGTGGTCAGTCAGGATCGGAGCGAAACAAGCTGAACGCTGCCACTGATGATTTATAGGCTGCGATTTTGCTCCTGCTTTATTGCTGAACTCATTATTCCTCCAGGAATGCCCAGTTTGAAGTTCTTCACTGAGCTCCCAACAGGGTTAACAAAGTATGGAGCTGGAGGAACACAGCAGGCCAGGCTGTGTTCCTCCAGCTCCACACTTTGTTATCTCTGACTCCAGCATCGGCAGTTCTTGCTCCCAACAGGGTTCCCATTTATCTCTTTCAACACCTTCTATCAGCCTCTTGCCTTTCGGATTCCATTCCAGTGTCAGCTCGCTGCTCTTGCATAAAACTTTTGGAAGCTCCCAGTTGTGACCAGACTTCATTGATCGAAAATGTTAAAAAAACATGAAGAATGTTTCATTCTTGGTCTGTCCTGCTGAGCGTTTACCAGCACCTCCTGTTTTTATTCCCAAATCCATTTTACCCTTCGCTCAAAGGAGCCAGTTTTGCTTGTGCCCCAGTCTGGAACACCGTAATGCAGGCTGAATGTTCTCTGAAAGCCAAGTTTGTAACAGCCTCTAGTGGCGAGCAACTGGCCAAGGTCAACCTTCCCATCACAAGGCAGGAGCACCACATTTACACAATAAAAACCACAGAAACTACCAGCATGCTGCTTAAACAGTTACTGTCAATTTAGATGCAAATTATTAAAGGCAAATTCCAGCAGTGTGCTTTGAAGAACCATTTTTGAAAAGAAAGCGCTATTTATTATGCTACCAATTTTCCATGTTTCACCTTACAATTATAGCTGGACTCCTCTTGTGGAAAATGAGATGCAGGTGGGACAAAATACATCCCAAAGCCACTGGAGCTGAAAACCCAAAGGTAATTATCCAGGTTAGCTATTGACAATGGCATCATTATTCGTCTTAATATTCAACTTGTAGCGAACATTG